AATTTTACTTTGTAGGGCCGAGTATGTTAATTTCTCCCACGGGATCTCCACTGCTGAAAAAGAAAACAAAACATTGCAATAATATTCTAATTATTAATTTATTTAAATAAAAGTATGTTTAAAATGTTGAAACTTACGATTCGATATCTTGATTAGTGCAACAGCAGTTGTGTCGGTCGGATAAATGATATTCTATAGCAAACCAGAAAATGACCGGTCTTATCTAGCTTTTCTTTCACTCCCTCTTGCATTGCCTTGCCTGATGCATAAGACAATTTGAACGTGTGCATGTTGGCTGCTACAACCTTAATATTGCGTGTGTGAAATCAGTTTTTCAAAGTTAATATTAAAAAAGTGTGCTTAAAAGTTTTCCAGTTTGATACAACCAAAAGGTTTACTCTAAAGAGATATTTCAAAGGAGCTACTACAGACTAAGTTTGGTACAAAATTGTACATCTCATACGTTCAGATAAGAACGAAGCAGTATGGATGCGCACATGTGTAGGTGAGCACAGCGCAGTAAGAGAGAGAGAGAGAGAGCACGCATAAGCAAGTGAAGCTCGGTTTCAGTGAGATGATAGCTTCTACGTACTGTTTTTTGGCATGTGCATATAATATGTAGAAAATAAATGAAGAAATTGGTTTTCGTGAAAAAGCATTATACGAGAGGTAGGCACAACAATTGTAATAAACAGATGAGCGTATAATGAATGGCGCATAGAAATGCATTCTTCAAGTTAACAAGAGTTGCAAGCATTATGCATTAATGCATATAGGAACAGTACATAAGCTGGGCAAATATCAAGTTCGAGGCAGATTGGATATCACAGTTGAGTACGGCAGAGCTATGCCAAGATGCATAAGACTTCCAACTATTGTCATAAACGAAACTCTGCCCGATCATAATTATAACTACCGTGTGAAAAGTACAAGTGCTCTCGAGGAGCCACTCGTAGCGTCATTTATTTCGATCTCGAACTGAACGCTTATGTATCGACTATAACGCAGCAAGTATACTATAGTAATGTAGTAAGCATTTATATGGTAAACTGTTGTACGCACCTGTACATATGGTGGTAGTCATTAAGGCGCATTATATGATTTTTGTATACGCAATGAGCTGACAAGTTTTTCGGTGCATATATGCATAAGAGTACATCTGCAAAAATATTTGCTTACCAGAAAAGTTCATTATGACGGAACAAAGCTTAAAGTGAATGTAAGAAGTGTTAAATTCTTGCATTAAGATCGAGCACAAGGTAATTTTGAAAGCGTAGTTCATCCTGTAAAAAAAGGAGTCATTTAAATTTAGTGAATCTTCTCAGAAAATGCTTATTTCTACTCACACTAACTAGCAAAATTCCTTTACACATCGTAGGCTGGAAATCCACGTCACCATTTTTCTGATCCTTGAAATAAGAAAGAAGCTATTTTTTTTTAATTGGGCAATTCTCTCTTATGTTTGGCACATCGGTCTGAAAAAAAAAATTAACATGCAAGTTTGGATCTGCAAAAGATATTTGGCCGCGCGAACAAAAAGTTGCTGAAATTAAAAAGTACACATACTTATTATGCACTGTCCCTGAAAAAATTACTCGTTGAAAAGAGTATTTCGCGGTAGTGTATGTTAGATTTCAATAAAAAAATTACTGTGGTACTAGTACACGATCAAACCATTAATTTTTTTCAGTAATATTTAGTGTTGCGCTCAAGTACTACTGGTAACTCGATATTGACTCCAACCTAATCATATTATACATGAATTTGAAGAGGACTAGATTTTCAAAAAATTAAAAAAAAATCGTGTTGATACGATAAATATAGCCCAAGATAGAAGCATTTGAAAATCGACCAAATTTCGATGGAATCGCGATAATTTTGTTAAGATAGTGTAGTAAATACAATTGATAAAATTCAAATAAAGAATGAAAATATTTTAGTGCAACATTATTCATTTGTTTTATCTAGTCGGCTATATTAAAAACAGAATTCATTGAAAGTTTGAATATGCCGCATATATATGCGTGCTGAGCAGTTATTACAACTGTTTAGCGCAGTGAATAGACCTTAGCCAGATTTTTACACAACCCTGTCAGCCAGAGTCCTGCCAAGCAGAAATATGCGCGAAGGATGTGCGCCAAAGCATAAACATCAATCTCGTACTTACGCATCCGAAGCCCAGGAAAACTTGGTAAGGCTAGAGACCCCTCACTGATTGCGCTAAGGAGAAAGACCCACCAACATACATAGAATTTTCTAATACATCTGTAACAAATTCATGCTGGATGAATCAACCACTGCAAATTTTATTTTTACTCACTCTATTTAAACATATTGATTCACGGCAACTCCAAACTTTTCTTCGGCTTTTTCAAAAGCTGAAAGAAATAAAAAAATGTTGAAATGGAACAGAAACACGAAAGAATATCTTGCAGTTTCTCTCGTTAGTAAATATTACTTTATATCCACTTTTTAAAACTTAAAAAATTAAGACACTATCATGCCATAAAATTATACGTAATATGCTATCGTATGTCCACGATAAAGCGCACACTTTTGAAATTGTTTTACCGAGATGGATCAATAAACAGGAAAAATTTTTTTTTTCACGGTTCATCGGTTCAACACAAATATTAGGAGACAGAGTCATGCGCCGAAATGATTTTAGTCAATGCAAACTCCACTTATGTATCATATAGAAAACTGGTTTGAAGCTGAGTGTGGATCGATCTATGAGAAAAAATATGAAATTATTCCCGAACACATACGCGATTAAACGACACTGCCAGGATCCCTAGTGGTCAATTTGAGTACTAGAGAAAGGGAGAACATTAGAAAAATAGCGTGCATTTGCATGTAAATGTGAAAAATAAATATTGCTACACGCTCAATTTTAGTTGTTTGTTATTTTTAATTGAAAGTTTATACCTTAATATTAATTAAGGAATTTAGATTGCATTCAAAAGTTCTCTGACCTCTGAGAAAAACGAATTAGAAATCCCGAGGGCGGCATTCTTTCTGCTACCCGCTGTCCTACGCGCATACAAAAGTTTCTGCTGTGGTGCTGTGCGAGTGATGTTGTTGTTTAAATATAATTGATGAAGTGGAAGACAGACTAAAAACGAAAAAAGACTGTATCGTTAGAGGATGTGATACAGTAAAAAAAAGTTGTATAATGACAATATTAGTTTTCATAAGCCCA